AGCCATGTAAATTTAAATGAAGCCGCGATTATTTAAATTGCGGCTTCATTTCCCTTTGCCAAACAAATAAATCTACATGGCTTCGTCGACGGAGCCATGTAGTTTAGACGTACCCTTAGTGACCTAACTCAGTTACTATAACAAGAAGATCTATATCTACAACCCAATACACAACAAGGAGGATTGGGAGCACTGTTAGTTTTGATGGCTAAAAACTCCCTCAGAGGCTACGAAAGAAGACTGCAGGCTTCTTTTGGAAAAAACTTTTCCGGAAGAAATTTTCTGAAAAAACCTCTTCATTTCCCTTTGCCAAACAAATAAATCTACATGGCTTCGTCGACGGAGCCATGTAGTTTAGACGTACCCTTAGTGACCTAACTCAGTTACTATAACAAGAAGATCTATATCTACAACCCAATACACAACAAGGAGGATTGGGAGCACTGTTAGTTTTGATGGCTAAAAACTCCCTCAGAGGCTACGAAAGATGCAGTAGTTGGGTCTGGGAAGAGCACGGAGCAAATCCTTCCCTGGAGCAATGCCTCCGACCACTACCCACGCCTCGGCCACAAGCGTAAGTGCCCTACGTCAAATAGGGTTGCCAGGTGTCCGGTAGCCAACTGGACAGTCCAATTTTTAGGCCCGCTGTCCGGTAAAAAAAAAGCTCAGAAAATACCGGACATGTGCAATGTCCGGTATTTTCTGGTTTTCTGGCTGGGTGCCTGATGGAAGCCTGGTGGCTGTGATCAGCGCTGGGAGCCTTCAGCACAGCTGGTTGTGTGCGAAAGCCTGGCAGGGGCGGAGGGAATGGCTGGGGAAGCGGGGCTGCGATCGGTGCTCCAATCCGTTAACATTGCTTAAGCCTAGCTCTCCTGCCCATTATTGTATTCACCTTCTGCTTTATGTGGCAATTTGCCTGGTTTCCCTCAGGTAAGGCTCATTCTGAGATCAAATAGGCTTAGCACCAGACTTTCCAGCCCTCAGAACAAGCCACTCTGTGATACTGGGTTCCCCTCACAATTCTGTTCATAGTATAGTATAGGGCCTAAGAACCCTGTGTCAAATTTATCCTTATTTGAGCACATACAGAGAAAGCAACTGAGGCAGTGACATTACCTAAACACATGCATATAAAGGAGAGTTAAGAAAAATGTGTGCTTCTTTGTAAGATTGCTTAAATACTGCTAAGTGATAAGTAACTGCAGAGGCAGAATAATACAAGCATTCAGTAGGGAAATTATTTATTTTATTATGATGAAAAGAATAAGCCCAAATAGCTCTTTGGACAAATTTAATTACTAGATTTGAGAGCTCTTAATCTATATCAAATTAAACAATTTCATGGCCTTTAACATTTGGTTTGGAAGTTTCAAGACAACTGCAGCACTTATTTTTCAGCAAACCAGAGAGAATTTTAAAGCACTTCAATTCAGTACAGTATTCTCTAAAGAATCACCAGCTCAAAGTATAATTATGCATAAAAAGAAAGGTGATAAGGTTTTAGTTTATGAACATGCGAGAGAGTTTTAATGTTGACCCAGCTATAGAAGGGAAAATAATGATCAATATTAATCCAACAACAACTAATGGTATAACTATATTTTACAGTGTACAAATAGGGTTGCCAAGTGTCTGGTTTTTGCTTGGACAGTTCAGTATTTTGCCTTCCATCCGGTAAAAAAACCCCAGAGAATGCCAGACATATAAAATGTCCAGTATTTTCTGTTTTCCTCAGATGGATAGCCGGGATTGTCTGCGAGGGCGGGGTAGTGAGGAGCGTGATAATATTCTTTGTTGGTCTTTTTTTTTTCCTCAACCAATTTTTCCCTGCCTGTTTGGGATTTTTTATGAAGTTATCTGGCAACCCTACTTCTGAAAGAGTGCATCCACATGCAAAAGCGCATCGAAAAAACAATCTGCTTTTTTGAAAGACAGTGTTCACACTGATTGGATGTTATCTCACATTTAAGGCCACCCGGAACCAGTTCAGGCAGGGCTTTAGGTCACCAGTTGCTTCTGAGTGCTGGTGCCGAAGCCTAGACACACGCTTAAAGGGACCCCCTGGACAGCTGTTTCTCTGCTTCTGCTACATGTTCAAGGGACAGCAAAGTTCTCACAACACCTGCTTTGGTTGCCCTGCTTTTTTGGACGCCACAGCTTTTTTGTTAGTGCCATGCAGCTGGAGCTGCCCCACGGCATGTGATGGCCCCACACAGCCATACTGCAGTCGTTTGTGCAGGCTACCTTCCTGGCCCTGCATGAGCCTGACTCACAGCTCATTCTGGAGACCCGCTCCCTGTGTGGGGGAGCAAGACTTGTACAACTGAGAGGCATTTTTGGAGGCTGTGCACTAGTTCTGATTGGTGGAACCAGCTGGCCATGGAGCAGTGGGATGACCAGCAGTGGCTCCAAAACTTCTGCATGCGGAAGGCCACCTTTTTGGAGCTGTGTGCTTGGCTCGCCCCTACTCTCTGACAACCCGACACCCATCTGCATCCTGCCATCCCCCTGGATAAGTGGGTCGCAATCGCAAACTGGAAGCTCACCACCGCCGACAGCTACCAGTTGGTGGGCAACCAGTTCGGCGTGGGGAAGTCCACCATTGGGGCCCTCCTCATGGAAGTAAGGCACTCTCAGGCTGCAGTCCCTGCATGGGTGGGAGGGAGGGGAGTCCTGGAAAAGGGGTTCTCTAGGGAAAGTGGGGTTGGGGAGAGCACCATCCCCGAGGAGTTGTGTCGTCCTGCCCTCACACAACTCTGCTGCTAGGGGGGTGGCCTCATAGGGGGTAGGATGGGAAGGGAAGGAAGGAGGCAGCCACCTCCTAAGGGCTCAGGCACTCCCTCTCATTCTCTGTTTTGTGTGTTTGTTTGTCTCCTTCTGCAGGTGGTGAGGGCCATCAACTCCATCCTGCTGCACAGGGTCATCCACCTGGGAGACCTGGACCCAGTCGTCACAGGATTTGCAGCCCTGGGGTTACCAAACAGTGGTGGAGCCCTAGAGGGGACCCACATCCTGATCCACACACCTGAACACTGAGTGACTCAGTATTTCAACTGCTAGGGCTACTTTTCAATGGTGCTGTAGGCCCTGGTCAACCACCGTGGACAGTTTACAGACATTTTTGTTGGGTGGTTGGGCAGGGCACATGATGCCTGCATCTTTTGTAACTCCAGCCTCTATGGCAAGCTGGAGGCGAGCACATTCTTCTCCTGCTGCAACTTTGCAGTTGGGGACGTGCAGATGCCACTGTGCATCATGGGAGATATGGCGTACCATCTGATGCCACAGCTGATGAAGCTATACACTGGCCACATGGACCCCAGCAGGGACCAGTTTAACTCCCACCTCAGCCAAGCGAGGATGCAGGTGGAGTGCACTTTCAGCTGCCTCAAGGTGCATTTCAGGTGCCTCCTGATCCGCCTTGACGTGGGGGAGCACAAAATCCCTGAGGTCATCTCAGCATGTTGTTTCCTCTACAACATTGTGGAAGGCAGAGGCCAGCTGCAAGGGGAGACCCTTTGGAAAACCTCTGGTGGAGATCTTGATAGTAGGGGCAAGTGTGGGGTCC